GCCAACCTCAAGGCTCCTCCGCAAACCTGTGCACACACGCACACATATTTTCCGTGCTTGCCAGCAGCGCAAAGTGTAAACGGGCAAGTGCTTGTGTGTGTGTGTCATCTTCAGTCCTCAGCAAGATTTCCCTTGTTGCCGTTGTGCTTTTCACGTCAGCTACTTCAGCAACAAGGGGTTCTACGCCGCAGTGCTTGCACGCGTCTTGGCTCGCAACACGTTGCGGCTGAACGCTCGCTCAGAAAGTCAGCGCCATACAAACAGGGCAGCGTCTAGTCAGTAGATCTTTGGTTTGTTAACTTCTAGGCTGAAGCAAATTAGTTGACCTAGCGCACAACTCATTGCAGCGGCCGCGCGCAAATCAGGCATTCATGTCAGTGGCAAGAGGTCTGCGCAGCTTCCATTTTTTTGCTCACTGACCACACCGCCTCTGACAAGTCAGCGTATGTCCCAACGCAGGTCCACAGTAACCCGATTACATATATATATATATACAGACACATAATAATTAATACGTGTATATGTGCGTTCTCTGGATTCAGCGTGATCAATGTCCAGTCCATAGAAGCATGTGTGATTTGGTTTCCATGCTACTTTATGATACTGATGGAACAATCCCTGAAACGAAAACACGAGAACAGACAAAATCACTCGGCCATAAGATGCGCACAAATGTCTGAGCCGGCTCTAGTTAGCGTTACTTACAACCTGCGTTCTTGCACCGTTTGTTTGACAACATCACGGCTCAATACTTAAACTACGCGCAACTGAGCTGTTCCAGAACATGTACAGTGCCGGTCAAGCGCTTGAACTTGTTTCGGTAGGATGCGCGCGCACACCTGCCTGCATTATCCTGCCCAGTTCAACCATGCCGCCTGCAATCAAAAATCGTCAGGAATTAGTTCAACAAATTCTCCTCTGAGCTACCTCGAGCGCACGCAGCTGGAAGAGGACTCTTTTTTATGTTGGCGCCAGAGTCGGCAATGGCTGTTCGTGTTTCCGCGCAGAGGTTTTCTCTTTAATTTGATGCCCCTGAACGGTTCTGAACGGTTCTGAACAGTTCAGAGGCTTTGCTGCTATGGATTACGCGCTTCAATGAATTTTCAACGCAACCTAGCGCGCGAGTCCAGTATCCCAGGCACAAAGTCATTCGGTACTTGGTTAGTTCCAAGAACCATTGATCCCCTGAACCGTTCCGAACTGTTCGGGCATTGTACGAAATAGATTCCCTGAACCGTTCTGAACCGTTCAGGCAGTCTACGAAATGGATTTCCTGAACCGTTCTGAACCGTTCAGGCAGTGTTCGAATGTGCTTTTCTGAACCGTTCTGAACCGTTCGGGCAGCATGAAGGAGAAAAAATAAGTAGTTCCAGAACCGTTCTGAACCGTTCTGAACCGTTCAGGTGTTTTGCTGTGGCTTGAGCAAGCCCTGAACCGTTCTGAACCGTTCAGCAAGCTTTGCTGAACGGTTCTGAACCGTTCAGCAGGCTTGCAAAATTGAATTGGCTGAGCCGTTCTGAACCGTTCGGCGAGCGTGTTCAATATCGCCTTGTGGAACCGCTCTGAACCGCTCCAAGAGTGTTCCGCGAAGAATAGAAGCTATGCCGAACGACTCTGCGATTCATAAGCTACCATTCTTACGAATCACCTTGGACAAGTCGGCATAAGCAAGTGGTTTGGCCTATGAGCAGCCAACATGTGGAGCACATTTATGATTTCATCAGCATGTTGCTAGTCACACTCTCGAAAATGTGTATGTCTTTGTGATGTATCGCGATACTTACAGCTAATGTCTGAGCGTCGCCATTTATCCTATACACATGGCCTGGTCTCAAAAAAAGATAATGCTTCAGTTTGCGAACAACAGCAACATGTTGCTTACATGTGCCAGGTAGGTTGCAGAATTGCGACTATCACATGAACCGTCGCTGCATCGATTTCGCATGGCTTAAACTCTTGCGAGAAAAAAAAGGGAACGCAGAAGAAACTCGCCTTTGGCTCTAGATTTGTTTGCGATGCTTGTGGACCCCCAAGCTGTTGAACCTCTGCTTGCATTTTGGGGCAGGCATGAGCCGACTGTCAGCCAACTATTTGCACGGCACTGTATTGTTTTCCAACTTACTTCCTGCGTGGCTCGACCTAAGCGTGGGTTTGCTGCAACTCGCGGGACCAATGTTTGATGTATGCTGACATGATGATGAATTCCGTGTCTGGGCTGCGCTGGGCGCATACCAAGCGCCGCTATTTGGATCGCGGCCCGAATTTGTGACTTAGACTGTGTTTCCCTTTGAAGGGTCTTGGCATGAAGTCAAGCAGGTTTTCCAACATGAACTCAGACATGAGTAGTTGCATAGTCCAGGCACCATTCAGCTGGCAATTTTCTCACCCACAGAGATAGAGACCAAGTTTTGAATTAACCTTTAACTCATTGGGAAATTATCTGCTTGTTTCCCAATACGAAACCAAATGGTTGAACTTTTCTGAGCAGGGGGCAATAGCCACAAATCAATTTCTCAATGGATTCCACCCCCATCAAAAATGGGATTGTTCTCTTTTTCTACCGTTCAGATCACAGGGCTGCTGGAGACCCATCCGGCGAACTGTCGCTGGCTTTGGAGCACAGGTAGTTCTACTGTTTGGGATGTTTCAGGTGGCTTTTGTGCTCAAGTTCTTTTGTGGTGGGTACATCTCCAACTGGGCCCAACTGGTCAGCCTCCTTTTTGTGGGCTTCGGAGGCAAAGGGGCAATTGATTGGGGAATCTGGATACATTCATACTTCAAGTCGTTCAATCCAGTGCCAGGCCGAAATTTGGAACATGTGTTTGTGTGTGTGCTTTGGCCTCCGGGGTTTCCTTCACTTTCCCTTGAAACCACCAAGTCAAAACGCCGGCACACAAGGGGGTTTTGTTTGCAGCCTCGCCCAGATGAGCGAGCGTTCTTTTCTAGGGGTCCTTTGCTTCAGGTCTGTGGATGAATATGTTTTTTGAGTATAAGACAATACACCCAGTGTCCTGCTTTTTTTTTCCCCTAGCGGTGCGCGTTGTGATCCACACAACTCGTCTCCGAACTGCCTAGTACGGCTTGCTGGTAGCACGCTGTTCCAACAGGTTCAATGTGAAGCGGTTTTGAGCATTCATGTTATGTGGCCAGAGCTGTTGTTTGGGTTCGGACTGAACCATAGGTTTTGCTGCAAATCACGTTTCACTGATTTCTGCACAAGCGCCAAGCTGAGGCTTGGGCCGACGTTGAACTGCCAATTCCATAGTCAAGGAGTGTGGTCCACCTTGCATTGGTAAGTTTGTCTACTGAGACCAAAAGTAGTTGTTTGGAACTTCCTTGGCTTATATTCGCCGTGGGAAACCTTGATGGCATTGCAAAGTGCCCAATGTTGAGGTGTCCTTGTGCCATCTAGTGCCTCATTTCCGAAGGGGCCAAAACAATATCGTCAAGCCCAGTGTTCCTTCCATGTGGTCAAGAATATTCGTTATTTTCCTTTTTTGGTTTTAAAGGGAATCTATTGAATCTATCACTACTGGAAATATGTGTTGTGTTTTTTTTCCAGGGGACTTCAGCAACTGGAGGATTCTTGTCCATGGCTCCGGGCTCATGCCCCCAATCCCCTCATTAGGACTTCTGTCCCACATGTCCACAAGGCGATGCCTTAACTCACTCCATCAAGACTGGGGAAATCTAGTTGGATGCTCTCACAGACCACCCACCCGACCAGGCTCCTCTTCTGGTCAAGACCTGGAACTTTGAAGGGACTCCTTTTTTATGCTCTTGTTTGCACCTTTTCAATTAAACAACAAACATATAGTTTGTCGCAAGTATCACAATCTTGCGTAAATAAGCAAGAGAAAGGGGCATCTGGATTTGGGTCGATGGACCTTTTGTTGTCCCCCTGCCTTACCAGCAGAGTGTGCGCAGGCGCGACTGCACTGCCGGCCACGTTTGAACCTGGCGGTGAACTGCGGATGGCCATGTCTCTGTGTTTGTCTGTGTGTTCCAAACCCCGACGTCCATTCAATCGGGACCTCCCGGTCCCAATTGGTGGTGTTCCTCTTTTTTTGACAACCCAAGAGGTAGGAACACCCGTCACAATGGTTGTGGAACCCACTTCGGGATTCCGCCCTGGGCAAGGTCACAGTCCAAGAATCTAAGGACCGATGCCGTGCCTTGGGTGCCCTTGTTGCAAAGAAACCCTGTTTACAATGGTGTGTGGTTGGTTGAATTGCTTTGAACATTTAGGGAGTCCATGGTACCCCGTTTCCCTCTCACTCCCCTGTGTCTCAATTGCTGCTGTTTTTCTCGTTGTGTCAATCCGTTTTGGATTGCTAAAAAAAGGAAACCAGCTGGAGACCGCCAATTTTCGGGCTTCCCACATTGTCAGACACCCAGATCCGGGTTGGGCTCTTCCGAAAGCCCGGTCAAAGGACGCCAAGCCCGCTTTCAAGCCCCTTTCCCTTCAGACAAGTCCCCACCTCCAGCCCCCGGCGCCAGAAAGACCTGCCAGGCAGCGGCCCCGTTGGGGCCACGGCTGTGCATATCTCGCAGGGAAGGTCTTTTGCGCCCGCCTTAGACCGGTGGATGGTCCAATGAGGCAAAAGGGCTGCTGCCATGACATGTTTGCTCGTAGTTGTTGCAGCGCCTGCACGTACGACCGAGTGGAGGCATCCTTCCCCAATTTTTCACGCATGCCTCTGCGTCAGGGTTGTGGCATCAAGGGGTGTAACCCCACTTCTGTGGTACAAGGTAATGTCGGGGGGATAGTATTTAGGAAGCCCTTGTTGGTGCATCACAGAAGTGGTGATTTCCCGCAGCCCTGCTCTGCGTCGGTGTCAGTGTCAGTGGCTGGAGTACATCTCTGATGCGGCCATTGCCGGGAACCATTACGTATCAATCCATGCTTGCTGAAACTGGAACTTACCATCCACGTGTGTTCACTTTTGAGTCCGTTCGAGGTGCTGGAGGCTGTTCCCGGCGTGATGGCTCGCCGGCCCATGAGGCCCGCGCAGCTGCGTTCAGAATTTGTTATGCAAGGTAGAACAACAACAAAAGGGGGGGGTCAAGGATTCCGGAGGGTCTTCAAGATTCCCTTGAAAATGAATGTTTCGCCCCAGTTTTCCACTAAAACGACCCGAAGGGTTCCCTCACGGTAAACCATCGAAGCGATTAGATTCGATTCCTCCCAAAGCGGGTCCGGACAAAGCCAAGTGGGGTCTTCTGATTTCCTGCAAGAAGGAAACCTGGACCCTTGCAGTCATATTTGTGAAGACTACAGTACAGAGGGTCCAGGTTTAACAAGCCTAGGCAGATGTGCTTGCAGAGGCTGCTGAAGTTTTAGAATTTATCCAGATTGCAGTGTCTAGTATCTACATGCCCTCGCAGAGGTTTGACTATCGCACAGAGTCTGGTCCTAGTCCTAGGCAGGATTTTGGCTCCTTTGGAGCCCTTTTTTTTGGGGGGGAGAGATGTCCCTCCAGCTTCAAAGCACGACAAATGATTGCGATTGTAGGAGTAAACAAGGTAGTCACAATCAGGAAACAACTTGTGATTTTCAAGCCGCAGCCTCCTGAAGTTCGAGTCATAATTGTCATATAGTAAAAGAAAAATAGAATGATCACCTAGGCAATAGTAGGAGTAGTTTGGCAACAGTGGCTTGTGAGTAAGATAAGCAATGTGTAGTTCATCCGCCAGGTCTACATGGAGACGCTGCGCACCTGCGAAGTCTATGACCCCTCCCGCGACCGCTGGGACCCGCCGCCGGCTCGGCCGCCGAATCCCTGCATCTCAGGCTTCCAAAGGCCGACTGGAATGAACTCAAACAAAAAAATGGAGCCTGGTGGCTGGTCACTCATGAAGCTACAGTCGTTGAACCCGCAAACTGCAGGTTTACAGCATGAATGGTTCACATGTCTGGACGAGTCAGAAGGAGCTTGCCGATCCCCCTCTTTCTAGCTTGGGAGTTATACGTAGAAATTTGCCAGGATGAAGTCCACCCGGGGGGGGCAGTTTTTGCCAACCCCAAACCCATTGCTGTTTGATGCCCCTTTCCCTTTTGGCCCAAAAGGAGTGCCCGTTCTTGGCGGAACATTTAGTTGTCCCCACCAGCAGAAAGTCTGGAGACAAATAATACATCAACCCTAGGCCTGGTGCTTAAAAAACGATCAAAACCGTGTCGGCCAAAAATCAAATCCTTGGCTCAGGTTCCCAGACTTGAAGATCGCCAGAGCTGGCGCTCGCGTCGGTAGCCTCGGTGCGGGCAAGCCTTTGGCTCTCAGAAGCTGAAGGTCGATTCAAGAGAGACATGGAAAGAGGGGAATACGCAGGACTGGGGCACCGATATGTGGAGACCTTGTGGATACGTGGTGATGCACCTTGGAAAAGTTGGAAGACTTTCAGGCTTCTTTTTTTCTGGCCGTTTTCAGTCTTGGGATCGAACTGGGTCCAGTTTTTGTGCGCTTCAGCCTGGCAGCCTGGCACTTGCCCATTTTGGCCCTCCTTGCATCTCCTATGGGGCTTCCAAAAAGCGTTGCGCCCATTCGGGAAAATCAAGGGACACCCTGAACTTGTTGAACCCCCTTTTTGGGGTTTCCCTTGATTCTCAATGCGGGAGCAGACAACCCGCTGGGCTGGAGAAAACCCAGCTGCATTCATGGAGAACCTCACTGGCTGTTGGGACGCTTCAGAAATCACGCTTCATATGTTGCGCTAGGATTGTTGTTTTGTGTGTTCGGTCCCCCGTCTTTTCGGCTTTGATACGCTACAAGCAGACAATCAGAAAGGCAAGTGGAGCAGGAAACAAAGGGGTGAAACACACACGGCACTCATTTCCTCTGCTCAAAATGGGAGGACAGTGGCCAGGGAATGAATTGACAATAGAACACCCATATGAGGGGATACACTGAAAACCCGTGGCACGCAGTACAAGGAAGCTAAGAGAAATGTTACCATTTGTAGCCCAAGCTGCTTGACACATTCCCACTTTCAGTCGT